CTGAAGTAGTTTTGGGTGGACCCCTTTAAACTGGCAAAGTTTCATTGAAATCGGTGAGATGGCTTGTGCCACCCCCGCCTGGTCCTATCATGGATGCACTCTTAAATCACTACTTCAGGGCAAAACTTGCTGAGTCAGAGTGGAAGTAAGATGCAGAAGTTACAAAAAAAAACATGTTTGTCTCTAGGCCTGAAGTGCTCGAGTGCTCTGTTTCGTCATGAGATCGGCTACGTCCTGGGTCAGATGCAGCACCCGGCAGCGGTCCCTGCCCTGCGTGCAGTTTTGGAGCATTCCAGCGAGAACCCCATGGTCCGACATGAGGCAGCTGAGGCTCTTGGATCCATTGGCAAAGATGAATGTCTTGATGTGCTGAAGCGTTACCGTGGAGACCAAGAACGTGTTGTCAAGGAGAGCTGTGAGGTTGCTCTTGACATGCTAGAGTATGAGAACAGTGACCAGTTCCAGTATGCAGATGGACTCGTCAGGTTACAGGGTTAAATGTAAAAACTGAAGGGTTTTTTCTCTTTAACACATTTACATGTGTATAATTTCTCTGTACAGTTGAGAAAGCTGCACAAAACTATTTCTATTTCAGTAAAACTTTTGGATCCTATGAAATGATGCCTTGCAGAATGGGAAATATTCATACTAGCATACCTCATATAGTCAAAACCCCAATTTTTCAAGTCCAAACAAAGTATACAGTGTAGGGGGACAACAGGAAGCAGAGCCCTTTGTGTTCATTCACTCAAAGGTATCACTGCATTCAAATACATACAATAAACAGTATCTATCTGTGGAATTTTGAACAACTCATGGCTGACTTTACAACTTTGAGGGGGGTTTTTTTGTTTGTTTTTGAGAATAAATATTTTCTTCCTGGCCATATACTACTTCTCCTCCATCCATATGAGCTTTGTGGAAGTTACAGTATCTCCACTTTGTCCATACTGTGTTCAGCTTTGAGCTCAACCAAAGCTATGATTTGAACTTGAAGGCTTTTCTTTTGATGACACACTGTTTTCTTTCTTTTTCCTTTTTGTTTTGGAACTGTGCAATCATGCAGTCCTGTAGAATGGAGAAGAACCAGTGCTAGATTGACTGGGTCTGATCCACAATACACTGTAGTGTATGCCATCCCAGTGTCAGTAACAAATTAGTATAAGCTAAAGATCTATCAGCTTCTCTTTTGTGGGTTTAGAGTATGTTGGTAAAACCAAACTAACAAAACTAGCAAAATAACTTAAAGATAACAACAACTTCAGGTTCTTTTCTTTGTTTTACTTTGGTCCAAAATAGTACAAGCACATTCAGAACATGTACACATCACAAATAATCCTCTTGACAAAACACTTCAAGTTAGTTGAAAATTCTGAGGAAAAAATTGGTGCAATTTCAAGAACACAATGCCTCAGTGACAGGAACTTAGACTTTGTCTCAGAGTATCTACAAAGCCATTAAACTGTATGTCACAGCCTATCTGGGACTGAACAAAATACAAAATAAATAATAAATATATAAAACAACTCTTCTACACTGTAAAATCTAATTGTTATCATTACTTTAAAAAAGCATGCAAACCACTTGCACTTAAAAAAATAAGTAAAGAGAAATAGGTATTTTAAGTTGTACTAACTAGTGTTTTTTAGTAGAGTACACTTAAACATGAGTGTAAGTAACTAAAACAATCAAGTAGTTTGTACTTGATAACTTACTTTAGATGTACTTTCAACTTAGTAAGGACTATTCAGAATTACTATTTTAAGTCACTAAATCATTGCATGTGAAGTTTACTCTGTGTGTCGTCCATACAACACACTTATCTAAGTTGAGCTAACTTATGGGACATTCCCTGCAATGTAGCATTTCTAGTTTATATTTACTTGAACAGCAATCTGACTTACTTGCTAAAACCATGCAAACCGATTGCCTTGAAAGAAGCTAGTAAGTGTTACTTCAGTAATCTGAGTGCTTGAAATATCTATATATGAATGAAAAACAGGTTCCAATTTCCTAATATAATCTGATTTACAGTTCAACATAATAAATCAAGGTAGTAACAGTTGAAAGTTCAATTATATCCATTTTTTAAAATTATTTTTCTGTGTTTTATATCAACACGCCAACAAGTGAAGGGTGGCAGAGTTGTTGGTAACTTTAGAAAAAAATACAAAGGTTTGAAAACAGGGTTGGTCCACACAAGCTGGCACTGGTTTACATTCATTAAATTTCAAAAAGTCACAGATCACACATTAGTTTCAGGTCTGTTAACATATTATGCCACTCTGAAACCACTACTATATAACAATATATTGATCTTTTTTGGATCAAATAAAACATTTTGTACAACAGCCAATTTATTAATCCAATGGACATGTACATGTTTATATTGTACAGTGAAACAATATCTTTTTCTTCAGAATAACATCAGAAACATCAAATTTTCTACCAAAATATTTTGGAAACTTTCTGCTGTAGGAGTACAATGGAATCTGCTGGACTGTCTGCCTACACATACACTACCAAAATCTGCGTTGTTACAATAATGTGCCAGTAATACTCTCCAGCTGATAAAAAAAAAATAAAGGTATAAATCTGGAGAAAAAGAAAATCCAATCCTGACCTTTAATTTGACATATAATCCTGAAAACCCAGCTTTAAAACTGTAATAACAATAACACAGACCAGCCTTGGGATAAAGAACCAACATGCTGACAATTGCAAAGTGTATTCATTCAATGAGCGCAACAATATCAAAGAGTTATGAGTGCCAATGGATCTCACATACGTGAGAATGAATATACATACATCTACCACCTCTTTGAAGCCCTGGGGTGACAATTTGAGTAGAGTGTTAATTTAGTGAACAATAAAAAGCAACTGAATCCATTCTCATGAACAAGTGAGATCAAATGTCACCACTTACACATTTATTTGCATTCTAACTCGAGGAGATTTTTAAGACTTTGCAGTTTTGGTGAGAGTTCGTTCTCTCCCAAGCCAAGCATCACTCTTTGAATGAAGCCAAAAGTGTTTTTCATGGCTTTAGGGTAGTCCAAATGTAAAGCATATGACAGCCCAAACAAGAGGCAGAGTGCCTACGGTAGGTTCTGGAGATCAGTAATTACAATACCTCCCTCAACAATGATGGCAGTAGACACTGGATCAAGGTGGAGCTGATTTGGAGAGAGTTGCACATCTTCACGGACAACAGTCAGCACCCCGACAGATACTTGTGCCCACGTCTCATCAGTGTCACAATCCTGTAATGAAACCAAACATTACAACAGGGGAATGTTAGAAATTGTCAATTCGAAATTGTCACCATGTCATCTGTCCTGCCTACACTGCCTTGCAGCCTTGCACATTAATTTTTCATGTGACATCCACAAGTGTTGATAATAGTACTTTTATCAACATAAGTAGGCCTTTACATTTTCTGATCAGTTTACAGGTGTAAAGAACATGAAAGAAATTAAGTACTTAAGTCTACCTCACATTCAGTTTCCTTTGCTGTCCTCACTGGCTTGCACTAACTCGTGTACCATAGGTGAAGGGAGGGGAGGGGCCACAGGGGCCATGGCCCCTGCTGGAATCTGATTGGCCCCCTCTCGGCCCCCGGGGGAATACTGTTTTGTCATTGGGTAGTTTCTTTGAGGAGCGCCAGCTAGTTGTTACAGCGCAGCTTTATGGGGCGGGGTGAACAGAGTATTGTGTTAGTGTTAGTGACGGGAGCGGCTGGAGAATAAAACAAGCACACCTCTTCCCTCATGGACACTGAGATGGTGAGGGCCAAAACGTGCGGTAAATTAAACACAAACGAGTTACTGATATGTTTTATCTTAACTCGTAGATTTACCCATTATCTTTAGTTCATCATGTAACACACTGATGACAAAAAGTTGATGGTATTAAGTAGAGAAGCTGATGAAACGTACCAACTAGATGGTAAATAACCATCAAGCGGTTCCTGCATTCATGATTATGTGACACGAAATCTTGCTACGGTTTTTGTTTGTTTGTTTGTTTGTTTTTTTTTAAACAAGGAAAATGTGCTAACGTTAAATGAAGACACTTTACACAGAGATGTTTTGGGAGCAGCCAGGGCATTCCCAATCCCAAGTTTGGGTTCCAACTGAATGGTGTGATTTAGTCTCTGTTACAGCAGCAGCAGGGCTCAGAAATGTCAGAAAGAGGCACAGCCAGCATGGTTAGTTATCTGATCCTTTTCAGGACTTTCATGTTGTCATATGTAGAAGGTCTCTGGGGGTCCATTGGACCCCAAGAAAGAATATGCGCAAAAATAATTGTTGGTATTCATTGTAGACTTTTATACAGTGTTAAATACATTTTCTAATAAGTTGACATATTTTTGGCTCCAAATGCATATTTAAAAATAAAATCTTTAAAAATAAAAAAACAATGCCTGTCACCTAAACCAAATGGCCTGGGGTCCAAAAGAGCCCAAAAGTCCTGAATAGAGTGAAGAAGAAGCCATGTGAGAGTCAGACCAGTGAACCCAGACAGGTTTAGGGGGATGGTTCTGAGGACAGGCATCCAAAGCAGGACCACTCCAGCAGCTGTAGCCCATCATCAGCACGAGGTGACATGCAGAGCAGGACAGACAGACATTCCTCAGAGCAAATTAAGAACATTGTTAATATAACAGAGGAGAGCATTGTGTTTATGTGTGTATTTACATGTACATTTACAACATCAGTCTTCACGCTGTGAATCAGTTTGAGTGTCATGAGTTGCTTTTTTTTTTTTTTTAAATATATTATTTTGGCCTTTGCCTTTATTTAGAGTAGTAGAGAGAGACAGGAAAGGGGGGAGAAGAATGGGGACAGACCTGCAGCAAAGGGTCGTGAGCGGGATTCGAACTCACGACCGCTGCATCGAGGAACTACAGCCCCTGTTCATGGGCCGCCCGCTCTACCAGGTGAGCTATAGGGGGGCCCGTCATGAGTTGCTTTTGAAAGAAGCAGTTATTGTACATTCCATGTTGTACAAGTATGTTCTGATCAGAAACCTTTTCCAGATCATGTTTATTTTGTTAGATCTATTTAATTAGGTCAGGTCTATATTTAGTCATACAATGTGAGTACAGTAAGTAAAGAACACTTCTCGAGAAGTTGCAATAGGCTACATCTACGAATATCGCAGTAATTGGGTGCCCCCCAAAATATAGCATTGGCCCCCCCCTAAAAATAAAACCTAGAATCGCCACTGGTGTACACGAGCAAAAGAGATATTCTACCTGTCTAACTGTGGCAGAGCAAGTGGGATTAGTGCTGTTGAGCTCAACATTACAGCCCAGTGACAAGGAATGTCAACAAAGTTACTTATATGGCTGCTTCATTGTATGGCTGATGCTACCAGCCTAGCTCATGTGAAGCAAGGAAAATGCACTCTATACCAGGGGAAGGCAATCTATGGCATGTCTTCCCACAACAACAGGCAAGGCCATCAATACTAACACACAGAGCAAATCAATAAAATAAAATATACTTTTTTTTGATTGCAATACGGGCTGCAAGGTGGCGCAGTTGGTAGCACTGTTGCCTCGCAGCAAGAAGGTTGCCGGAATCTTTCTGCGTGGAGTTTGCATGTTCTCCCCGTGCAGCGTGGGTTCTCTCCGGGTTCTCCGGCTTCCTCCCACACTCCAAAAACATGTTGAGGTTAATTGGTGATTCTAAATTGTCCGTAGGTGTGAATGTGAGTGTGCTTGGTTGTCTGTCTCTAAGTGTGGCCCTGCGATGGACTGGCGACCTGTCCAGGGTGTCCCCTGCCTTCGCCCTAAGTCAGCTGTGCTCCAGCCCCCCCGCGGCCCTAATGAGGTGTATAGATAATGGATGGATGGATGATTGCAATACTCTTCAAATGTAAA